GGACACCTCGTTTTTCTAACCCTAACCCTACCCTGGTGCACAACCCTAACCCTAATATAGGGCTGAAATACCATTGGAAACAGGGTGATTTTGAAAAAGACTTCCATGTGTAGCTTTTTCTGCGCTGCTCATCATTTCTGCCCATTGTAAACACATTCCAACCGTCAAAATCGCACCAGGACACCTCATTTTTCTAGCCCTAACCCTACCCTGGTGCACAACCCTAAGCCTCCCTATGGGGCTGAAATACCATTGGAAATAGGGTGATTTTGAGAAAGCCTTCCTTGAGTAGCTTTTTCTGCACCTCTCATCATTTCTGCCCATTCTAAACACATTCCAACCATCAAAATCATACCAGGGCACCTTGTTGTTTAACCCTACCCCAGTGATGGTGAACTTTTTGCAGACCAAGTTTCCAGTCTGCAAGCCCAGTCCCACTTATTTATTGCAAAGTGTCAACACTGCAATTATACCTGAAAGCTGAGGTTTGAGTTAGGAAATACCAACTCACAGCCAATCCAAGCAAAGTATATATGTCCTTGGCAGTGCCCTGCCCGGCCACACGAAAGTTCGGATGAGTCACGGCTTGTGACGTCATCGCCTGGGACCGCTACTCCTTTCCGCTGCTGGCACCGCTGCTCCCAACATGCACATGGTTGGCATGTCGTGAATGGAGCCGACTGGAGCCGGGGGTCAGACTAGATGGCCCGTTAGGCCCCTTCTGACTCGCTCTGTTTCTATGTTTCCAAGCATGTGCATGGCTCCTGTATGTGCCGTTACACAACTCTCGACTGCTGGAGTGATGCTGGGGCAACTTGGCTCACATGCCGACAGACAGGGCTCTGCCTGCCTGCTCTGATCCGTGTGCCATAGGGTCGCCAGCACTGCCCTAGTATCTTAGCTCTCAGTTCATCTGCTGTCCCTGTCTTTTTGGTGGTTTTTTCTGGCACAGAGGGCTATGGGAACTATGAGGAGATGCACGAATTGCCTGGGGAGAATGTCTTCCCTGACCCTTCTCTGGAGCCCGATGCATTTTGCGATGGAGGGATCTCAAGGCTGCAGAAGCCGTCCAGCACTGTGCCCGACTTCCTGCCCTCCACTCAGAGAGCCCTGTACCTGCGCATCCAGCACAAGCAGCAGGAGGAAGAGGAACGGGCCCGTCGGCAGGCAGAGGGCTGCAAACAGGAACGGGACCATGAAGAGGGCAAGTAGCTTCTCGTTCCTGGGTGGGAGCAGTGGGGAGAGGCGCCCTCCATCAGCTGTGTTTCCTTGAGTGACTGGGGTGGGCCACTTCCGTTCTGCCCTTGTTGGAAGGGTTCAGCCTACTTTGAGCATGCCTAGCCCCATGGCTGCCCTTAACACTAGATCCACAGGCTGTGCCGGGAAATGTCATGGCAGTAGCACAGGTGCTGTTAAGAAACAGTTGCAGCTGGAGGATGAGCTTGAGATCAGCTGCCATTCATTCATGTCTGAGTTCAGCAGAATCCTTCCTGCATCAAGAAACATAGAATAGTAGAGCTGGAAGGGGCCAGGGGGCCATCAGGTCCAAGCCCCTGCTCCTCTATAATCTGTACAGTCTCAAAGCTACACAATTTTACAATCTATATAATTTCAAACTGTAGGTGGGGGCTCCTATGGCTGACCAGTTACATACTTTTCCTTCCTTATTTCTGTACATACAAAGTTAGCCTGTTGGGGTGAAGGCTATGCTAGAATGACGTGTTTTATGTGTGAAGGAAAGTGCTCTCTTGGGCTTCCTTTTGCAGAGGGCAGATTGAGTTACAAAGCACTGGATGCCAGATTGTGTGTCCCTGAAGGGGGTTCCCCTATCTGTTACATTGCATGTGCACTGGAAAGAGTTCCCAGCAGCTTTTCACCTGCCACAAATACCTTTCCACTTAGACTGATGATTTTCAGTAAATAGGTTTTGTTTGTTTTCTGAAATGTTGCTGCTTCTCTTGAGGGTTGTAGGGGAAGCAGAAGGCCCCGTATTGAAAAGGGTGTCCCAGGAAACTTTTCCAAAGACGCTCTCACCTGTCCGGGCAGCCTGTTTATGATAAGGGCTGCACCAGCCTTGATTCACCGTCCTGCACTTTCACTTACCCCCAGGTGACACTGGCAACTGGTATTCCAGCGATGAGGACGAAGGCAGCAGCAGTGTCAGCTCCATACTCAAGACACTGCGGCAGCAAAGCTCTAGCCGGCCTCATGAAGACCTTTCTGGCAATGCTGGTCCTGTCCTGGGCAGAAGCGACCCTCGTCTCCAGAAAAGCCAGCCCTCCGGAAGCAGTCGGCCAGCTGACCCTCGCCTTCTGCGTGATCCCAGACTTTCTCGAAACATGGAGCCTTCTGCTCCACCCAGTGCTGGGGATGTGGGGCCCACTGATCCACGACTGGCACGGCACATTCCCCCCACTGCCTCCAAGCCAGACTCACTGCATTCCAGCCCTACTGCTGGCCAGAAGCTTGCTCCGGTTTCCGAGGAGGAGGAGGGGGAGCGGGTCCTGCGGGACAAGCCAGTGACCATTCCTCTGGATGCGCTGCCAAGCCATGCCCTCAGGGACCCCCGTGGCCAGCTGCAGCAGTTCAGCCACATCAAGAAGGATGTCGTCCTCCTCAAGCCCAGCTTCGCCCGCCTGGTCCTTTGGAGCCCCGAGGATCTGATTCCCCTGCCTGTCCCCAAGCAGGAATTTGTTCCTGTCCCACCTGCTCTGCAGTCACTGCCTGCCCTTGATCCACGCCTGAACCGGCCCCAGAACACCAGCCTCTTGGACCCCAGGCAGCGGGCTGCAGCCGCTGCGGATCCATCTGCCACCTCTGGCTCTGGCCTCCCGGACTTTGAACTGCTGTCCAGGATATTAAAAACGGTCAATGCAGCTGGCAGCCCAGGCCAGAGTGAAAAGCCAAGTGACCCTCGAACACGGAAAGTACCCGCTGACCCCCGGCTGCTGAAAGCTTCGGAAGCTGCACCCACAGGGGCTGCCTCAAAGCCCGCAGATGCCGCTGCCCCATCGCCTGCTGGCCCCACAGCCAGTCCTGAGGCAGCACCCAGCATTGCTCCATATGACCCTCGGCTGCTCACCGCAGGAGGCCTGAGCAGAGGCCCGGGCCAGAGCAGCGTCCTGAGTGGGATCAGCCTCTATGATCCACGCGCTCCCAGCTCAGGTGGCAAAGCAGCAGAGTCTGCTGGTGAGGGGAGCCCGGCTGCAAAGGGCTCGGAGGGAAGTAAAGGCAGCAGCAGAGGAAAGGAGCCACTGTTCGTGCGACGGTCAGCCCTGGACCAGCTGGAGACGGAGAAGCCCAGCGCAGAACCTGCTACCGACAGGTACAACAGCTACAACCGGCCCCGGCCCAAGGCCGCTGCAGCTGTCACTGCTGCCGCCGCCAGCACGGCACCTGCTACAGAGACCGCTGCGCAGCCTGGCGTTCACAACCTCCCTGTGCCGCCGGTCTATGGCATGGTGAAACAGGCAGCTAAGTCGGGGGCAGGCAGCCCGTTTGCCGGGAACAGCCCTGCCCAGGAGGGTGACCTGCAGGATGCTGGCTCCTTGAAGGATGTTTTTAAAGGCTTTGACCCTACAGCCTCCCCGTTCTGCCAGTAGTATTGAGAAAGACTTGCACATGCAGCCTTGTGTTCAAGGAAAGCAGCAGTGTTCATAACTTTTGTATTCCATTTATGCATCCTTTTGCCATATCAATTGTATATACATCCTTTGGGTTTTGCTCAGCGCTGTAGCGTATAATCTTCAAGCTGCATTGTAAGCAAGTAATCAGAGTATCTCAAGTAGTACTAGCCAGTATTGTGTGATGTTCCAAGAGTTCTTTCTTGGACTTTTTTGAGGTCCTCCAGAAATCATTCAGTGTCTACAAATCTTTTGAAAATTGGGCCAGCTACTCCCATCAACCTTGAGCCCTTTCTGTGTGCAGTGGGCATTGCCTGGATGGCACCTGCTTCTCCTCTTCAGATACTGCCTGTGAGGTGGAGGAGAGACTGGTGGACAAACAGCAGTTCCTCTCTGTAGCTTGAAGGGATGAAGCTGTCAGCTATGCTGATCTGTAGAATATGTGTATCTTCATTTCTGAACTGTAACAAAATATGTGTATCATAGCCTTTTTAAAAAAAACTAGTGAAAATTGCCATGGAAAAGTAACCATGTTGGATTATTTTTGTAATTGTATTGGATTTTGTTTGAAGTACCTGTTTTCCTGCCACTTCCTTAAGGTTGCTGGATTATTATGAGATCCAGCTGGGCTAGAATGAGGGTGCTACATCTGGTGGGTGACTTCTTGCATTCTACCAAAAGAAGAGTTTGTAGTATTGAAATTAAATTATTAATATCCTTGATTTTCTGTGTATGTCTTCTGCGCTCTTTTAAATAAGCAGGGACTGCCTGTGCTCAAAAATTGTATGTAGATTATGTTATTCCCATAAAGAACTGGTAATTTCTTTGATCTGTGGAGGTGTATTGGGTTATTTTAAGCATACTAGATGGGCTGGCTCTACTATTCTATAGTAGTAGAAACTGGATAAAATCCAGTCTGAATACTTCACAGGAGTCAGTGTCATTTGAGAAGTGGAAATTCTGCTGAAAGTGAACTGCCCTCGTGGTAGCATCACAAGAGCGTTACCGGGGGCGGAGGCGCCTCCAGTGGCCGCTCCTGTTTGGGAGGGGCGGTGTGCTCAGCACGGCCGCCTGCCCAGCCATCTAGCTCAGTTCTGGTCCCGGACGGAACCTCTTCCGAAAGGCCTGGAGCCTGCACTTGTCTTCCTACCGAGCTCCGCTCCTGAGCAGCCCCTGGTCTGCGGCTGTCCTTGGAGTGGCCTCTTCTGAAAGCAGCATCGTGTCACCTCTGTGTGCACACCGTTTTCTTTAACCCTGCCTAGAGAGAAGAACCTGCATGTCCTTTATAGGGTTGGGGTGGACATGCGATGGCGCTTCTCCCCTTGCTTTGTTCACTGACAGCATCCAAGGCAGGAGACAGAAGGCACATGCCACGTTCTGAAAATAGTATTCCACAATATGGGTGTTGGCAGCTCATCGGGGAGTAGGGTTTTCTGCCTCTCCCAAAAGCTACCCTGAGCTCTGTGCACTTGTTGAGGCTGAGATGCTCATGCCCTTCCTGGACAAGGAAGCTGCTGACTAGTCTGCCTGCTCAGGGAACGCAGTGAAGGATACGGAGTATTTGGAAAGGATGCCAAGTGTTTTCCTCTGCTTTGACTGGGGCTGTCCTGGATGCCGGCTGGTTGGTGGACAGCATGGCGCGGCAATCCTGAGCTGCCCTGGGAAGCTCTAGAGCAGGCTGGCCTACGTGGCAATCTGTGAGAGATGGGTCGAGAGGACGGATTGGTTCATAACAGCAAAGCACAGTTCAAATCTCAGCTGTTGGGGCTGCAAGCAAGGGGAGGGGTGCCCTGGCTCCTGTGCTGAGAACTCACCCCTTCTGTTCCCAGTCAGGTTCAGTGGACCCAGGGATACCCCGTTCCTTGGCTATTTGAAGCTTGTTGTGATATCCAGCCTAGCAGTCTGGGTTGTTCATGGCTAATCCACGGTTTGTTGTTGGGTTCAATTCTGGATTAACTCTGCAGCACCCAGAGTGCCTGGTTCAGATGTCACATCAGCACAAAACCCATGAACTGGTGTTGCCTGCAAACCAGGCCTGTGCTTCAGCCGTGATCCTGCCTCTTACAGCCATGCTAGGGGCCTTTGGCTGGCTGTGCAGAAGGGGCCCATCTGGGAAAAAGTAGTGTTTGAAAAACATTTTTATGGAGTTGGTTGTTTGGGGTGGGGTCAGGGACTGAGAGGAGCACTATTAGCGCCCAGTCGTAGCAGTATTCGATTCAAAAAGACAAGGGAGAATCCCCACACTTGGTGGGCTGCTCATTTTCCAGTACCTTTGCAGTTCCTCCTGTTTCAGGCAGATTAGTTAAAAAGCAGTTTCTTTCTTGCCTGGGGAGCAAAAGTTCCACAGTGTGTGGTAGAGACTGCTTTAAGGAGGGGAGGAGAGAGACCTCTAACTGCAAACTTAAAGCCAGTTTTTCCTGTGGGAAAGTTAAGGCTGCCAATTGCCTACTCTACAGACTTGACAATTTCACTATTACAGCTTTGCACGTGCACACATGGAAGTCTGGCAATTGTAGTTCTGAAAGGGGAGGGGACCTAGAACAATTCGCATCAGTCTCCCAAAATTATTGTTCTTCTGCCTCTGCCGAATCTATGACTTAAACTGGCATGTTTGTGAGTGTAACTTAACTGGGGAGATTCTTTGTGAAGTGCTCTGTCTTGTAAGCTTTAGGTATAGATGCTCAATGACATTTGTGTAATAAATATGATCCTTTGTAAAAACAAAAATAGGAAAGCCTTTCAGAAGACCACAAAATGGCAAAAACTGAATCCTTCGCTAATTGATGAGACCAGTCACCTGCCAGAGCTTTATAAAAATGAGATGAAATGTAAATATTATTTGAAAAGGGGGTTGTATATATTGTAATGGTATTTTTACAGTGAATTTTTGGTTGCATGGCTCTGTTTACTTTTTTATCACACATTTGTCTTCCAACAATGTCATCTGGACTCTCCTATCATTGTACTGCTGACATTAAATGATGCAGTGATTTTAACGGTTGCTGCGTGCCTGTCTCTCTGGGCTCTGGTGGGATTACTGTGAGGGACCAGGGCTGCCATTCTTTAGCCCAGGGACATCTGGCAGAGACGAGGGTGGAATCGGGCGTCCCGGGAATGTTCTTTTTTGCTACGAGTAATAGATGAGGTTGCTAAAACAGTGTCACACTTGGTGAAGGAAGGTGGCCAAGGGGGTGCGTGTGTCAGTCACCGTGTGTTGAATCCAAACCGTTTTCTCGGCAGCGTTTAGCACTGCTGGTCTGATGCGCTTAGCCCTGTATGGTACACAGATGAGATTCTGCCTCTCCCTGGAGGCTTCACAGGCCCTGAGGCTGGAAGGGAAGAAGCTGAGATGGTCGGGGGGGGGGGGGCGGAGGCAGGGGCTCTTCTGGGCTGTGAAGGCAGCCAAGGGAAGCCTTGACTCAGGAGAGGGACTGATGGGGCCATTCCTCAAAGCCGTGATTAGCCTGAAGGATGTCACAGGGGAGCCCAGCGTGGCTTCAGGCCAAGGGCAGCAGTGCAGAGCAGGGTTGGGGTCAGGGCTGCCTGGCATCGTGCGAGGAGTGGTGGCCACACGCCTCTCGCTGAAGAAGGATGTTACGTGCGACTCTCGCCGCAGTGGCCGCCTGAGAGCGCTCCAAGCAACCATGGCCAGCCCCACCGAGTCCTCCGCTGTGTCTGAGCGAGTCAGTAGCCCGGCATCACGCGCTTCTCCCCTTGCGATCCGTCCATGTTGCTCCCTGGCTGCCTGGGCAGCACGAAGCCTGGAGGGTGGGGCTCGGACCCGCTGAGGCGGTCCTGCGCTCAGTCGCTTGCTGCCTCTTAGCAGGAACACACTGCGTTTTGGTGATCCTGTTAGCCTAACTGACCATGGAGGGGGGAGTCTGCCATAAATAACCCTTGATCAGCTTATGGTGAAAATGGGTCAAGAACTTAAGGAAGCTTAGCACCGGAGCGGCTGAGCACAGGTCAGATTGTTCTGAGTAATCTGCTCGTGTGCAGCGCTTCCTGCAAAGGTGAGGCACCCCTGGCCTGGCTGCTGGGAGGGCTGCCCACCAGCACGTGCCCTTCCATGGTCTTTTGAGCCCAGGCGGGTCTCAGAGCTGGCCTTGTGCCTCCTTTGTCTCTTGTAGATGGCAAGTCCCTCTCCTCAGCAAATCTGTTCCAAGTGTGAGCACTTTTATCTGCTTTCTAGAAAATTGTTTCATGCAAAATTAATAAGGTACAAAATGCTTAACATCAACCAATTAATATTTCAAACAAGCTAATATAAGTATAAATAACAATCATGTATATCTTGCTTTTAAAAATGTCTTCTATTCCTTCAAAGAAGGTGATAAACCAAACATGACCACAATAACACTAGATCCCAGGAATCAGGCTAGATTTCAAGAAAAGTTTCCTCAGTGTCAGTGCAAAGCAACAGTGCCTGGAGAGGTCATGGGTTTTCCCACTCTAGAGACATTCACAAAGAAACTGGACAGTCATCTGGGATGGCGTAACATCGTGTCCTGCAACAGCAGGGGTTGGACTGGATGGCCTTCATGGCCCCTTCCAGCTCCACTATTCCATGATTCTTTGAAATGCAGCAATGACAGCATAAATTCATTTCCGGTGGCCATGCCCTGATTGTTCTGCTCAGTCACCATCACCCAGTCAAGATTGCTCTGGGCTGCTCTTTGCCTCCTGCAGCCTCCTATTTCAGCTGCTATCACGGGCAGGACCCGTGCTGGCTGCTTCCTGCCCCCAGGAACCTGATGCAGCAGCAGCGTTGCCCAGGGGGCCTGGGAGGGGGCGCCAATAGCCCATAAAGCCTTGCCGAGGCTTCGGCAAGGGGCGGCATAGAAATGTTAATAATAATAATAATAATAATAATAATAATAATAAAGATGCCGTTTCCCTTGCCAGGCTCCATGTCCTTATTTATTTATTTTATTTACAAGGCTTCTATGCTGCCCCATTCGCCGAAGCCTCGGGGCGGCTCACAATAATAAATAAGGACAGAATAAAACAATATAATATGAGTCGACCTGGCCCGAAAAGTAAAATACATAAATAATATTGACAATTAAAATAGTGTTTGAATAAAAAGGTCTTCACCTGGCGCTGAAAAACAACAACGGTGCCAGGAGGACCTCTCTGGGGAGCGCATTCCATAGATTGGGCGCCACCGCAGAGAAAGCCCTCCTCCGGGTACTTTGCCTCCTAATATCCTTCACGGAGGGCTCCCGGAGAAGGGCCTCTCCCGCTGATCTCAAGATGGAGGTCTGGAGTGTTCCTACCATGTGTTGGGTTCTCAAGGCGGGTTAAGGATTCTGTTAACATGCTGCCCACCCCTGCTGTGCTTTATCGTCTCCCTGCCACAGCTGACAGTGGTGGTCTCAGTTGTGAGGACCACCCCCCCCCCGACTTCAACTTCCATGCCAAGACCGGAAGAATTTCCAGAATATGATACTGGTGCAGCCTGGGAATAGATCCCTAAAATTTACCAGCCGAGTGGGAGTTTCTCAGCAGCTGGCCCCCGCCCCTGCCCTTAATATAGCGCTGTTTCCACAGGTATGCTAATACTAAAGGGAAGAGGTATGAAAACATGAGTTACCCTTTATACTTTAACTTCTGCAGAAACAAAAGTACTTTGTCGGTGGTTGGTGAGCTGACAGGCTGCTTGGGACGGCGGCTCAGACCTCCCACTGCCACCACCAGGGGGCGCCAAGTGCCCCCCCCCCTCCGATCCGCGCTGCCGGGGCTGTTGCTGCAGTGCCTTGGCTCACGGACGAGCCCCCGCCGCTGCAGGTGTGGCCTGGGCAGAGCCTCGCCCCCCCCCCCCACGCTCGGGGGCGTGAGCAAAGCAGCACAAGCTGGGCTTTGGCTTCCTCGCGTCAGGGGCCGCTCAGTGCCCCTCCTCCTGGCTGGGGTTTGACTGACTCTTTTCCAGGCCCTCTCGGTGTCCTGCGGGGATCCCGGTAAGGTAGGAGCAGAGCGGGGGGGGGGGGGCGCAGAACAGCTAAGGCTTTGATATAGGATGCAGTCTGAGAGGGGAGGGGGAGCAGTTTGGGCGCAGTGTGCACCCCAGTCAGGGTGCTGCTCCGGGATTTGCTGGGGTGGGGGCAGCACTGGGGAGAAGGTACAGCCTAGCTGTGCATGAATGCACAGGCCTGGGCAGGGGCGGGCACCAACCAGGGCGGAGGAGCCTACCCCGGGCTCCACGGCTTGTCCTACGCCAGCAGTTTGCCTGGTGCGGCCAGCTAGCCGTGCAGGCGCGCGTGGGCCCGGCGGAGCACATCCCTCCCCCAGCAGCAGTTCGGGCCGTGCTGTGGGGCCCAGCAAGAGCGTTGTGCCCAGAGGGGAAGCAGCGGGAGGCAACGCACTGAGGGGGCTTGGAGGGCGTGCCACGCAGGGGCGGAGTGCACACCCATGTGCGGGGCCAGTGCCCTTGGCTGGCTGGAGGCTTCTGGTGAGTGCATTTCCCCTGAGGGGTTCCCAGCCCTACCCTGTACAGTCAGAAATGGAAGTGCTTTGAGACTAGACCCCCCCCCCCCATTCTCAGAGTTGGGCCCACCTTTCTATGAAGCCAGATGGGCCGCTTTAGAGTGGGGCCGGGGAGTGATGGGGTGAGACCCATAGGATGCAGCCCACCAAGGTCACGGTGCCTTTCCCCTCTTGTGCTGCCAGCTGCTCTCAGAGCATCACCACACAGCCTGCCAGCCAAAAGGGCCTCGCCCAGGCTTTGATCTGGCAGAAGGCAGCTATTTGGAGAGCAGGAACAGAGGAAGCACTTAAGCCTGTTACATAAGAACAGCGTGTTCTCGTGTTCTCTGCTTGGAGCCACCCCTTCCTTCTCCAGTCAGGACAGCTGTGAGCACCCTGCAGATACTGCTGCACAGAGGAAGCCGGCCATGGCTTTGGGCCAGTTCCCAGTGACCCTGGCCTTCCACACAGGGCTAGTGGCACACATCATTCCCCACGTCAACGGCAAAGATGCTCTTTGCAGAGCGAATGGCTCAGGGGCTGGGGAAGCGTCCCAGGAGAAACTGGGCAGCCATCTCAGTGGGATGGTGTAAATTGGTGCTCTGCACCAGCAGGAGGTTGGACCCGGGGGCCCTCTGGCCCCTTCCAACGCTGCTGTTCTATGATCCTATAAGGCTGACTTCAATCAAGTTTCCTATATTCCTGAAACAGTGAAAATGTCACCACTGCCCCATGTTAATTCCTGGCTACATGGAGCATCGCTGAACGGCAAGGCCTTCTGCCGGCAGAGCTGGGCCCTCCTGCACCTCCCAGCCTCGGACCCTGTGCTTGGCCTGAGAGCATCTTGATCTCAAACGGCCGCTTCTGGCCACCCTTCAGCCTTGACGCAGGGGGACTGACGTGGCTGCTTGAAACACGGTGCAACCCCAGGGCCCCGGGAACCCTGCCTTTCCCAGACAGGCCCCATGCCGAGGCACGCAGCGGGATCCACGTCCAGGTGGGCAGGGCGCTGCCTGGCACTGGCACATGGGCCACTGCGCTCATGGCCGGGGCTCTGGAAGAAGCCCCGCTGGCCGAGGGAGAGGCGCTTGCGCGGCACGTTTGGGGTTGCTCACTAGCACTTCTCACATGCCTTGCTCTTGCAGGGTGCAGGATGCCTCTCAGCAGCAGCAGCAGCAGCTGAGTGGGGGAAGGCGGTGCCCCCCAGGGCCACGTTGCTCTCGGAGCCGCTCGCCTGTGGGACCGGAAGGCAGCCGCTGACAACGGTGCGAAGGGGTTTGTCTGCTCCACCTGCTGGGCAGCCCGCTCTTGCCCCGCTCCGGGCACTGTCCAGCCTGGCCGTGACGGCCAAGCCCTGCCCTTGCTAGCCAGGCTGTGGAGGGCCTCCCCGGACATGCCGGCCAAGACCCCCATCTACCTGAAGACCTCGACCCCCAAGCGGGGCAGGAAGCGGCGGCTGCGCGACGTGCTCTCCAGCGACATGATCAGCCTGCCGCTGGGCGACTTCCGGCACAGCGCGCACATCGGCCTGGACGGCGAGGGTGACATGTTCGGCGAGCTCTCCTTCCTGCAGGGCAAGCACGACCTGCTGCCGCAGCTGGGCCACCGCGGGGGCTGCTCGGGGGCAGCCGGCGACTCCTTCGGCCGCTGCCCGGCGGGCGCCTCCTGCCACGCGCTCCTGAGAAGCGCCACCTCCTTGCCCGTCTTTGGGGGGTCCCCGGGCCAGGATCAGGCCCCGCCGAAGCCGCCGCGCCTGCACCTCGAGGAGCTGCCCAGCGGGGGGCAGCAGCGCTCCATGTCCGTGAGCTGCGCCGAGGGGGGGCGCTTCCGCAGCGGCGCCGAGAGCCTCGCCTTGGCCGGCAGGGCGCCCCGCGCCCCCGCGCCGCTGTCCTGCTCCGCCTCCTTCGCTGCGCCGCCGCTGGAGGGCGGCCCCCCCGCGGACAGAGCGGCGTGCGCGGCCCGCTGCGGCGTGGAAGTGCCCCGCTCCGAGTCGCTCCTGCGCCTCGACCTCGACCTCGACCTCGACCTCGGCCCGCCCATTCTGGACGACGTCCTGCGCATCATGGAGGAATACCGGCAGCCCGCCCGCAGGGCCGTCTAGGGCTGGGCCGTCTAGGGGCCCG